GGTACATAACACCACCACCACCACCTAAAATGCTATTTAGTCCAATCACTTCAATTTAAAAGGCTGTGAATAGCTTTGCCTGATGTCAGTGTCAGAACCAGGAACGGAAAGCATGGCTTCTTACATCACACAGTGTTATAGACTGAATTGCACCCCACACACTGCAAAAAGAGATATGCTGAAATTTGAAGCCTGTACCCGTGAATGTGACCTTGTTTGGAAATAAGGGCTTTGCAGATGTTATCAGTTAACATGAGGTCATACTGGAGTAGGTGGGGCCCTAATCCAATCTGAGTGATGTCCTTATAATAGAGACAAGGAGAAATGGGCAAGATGGCCACATGACAAGAGAGTTATGCTGCAGCAGAAAACCAAAAGACAAGAAAGGATTTCTCACCAGAACTTTCTGAGAAAGCATGGCCCTGCCAACACTGCTGGACTACTGGCTCCAGAACTGTGAACAGGAAGTTTCTTTTTTATCCAACAACCAGTTTGTCGTACTTTGTTATGGCAGCCCTAAAAAACTTAGAGTAATACACCCTTATAGAAAACCAAGAACTAAACATGTTACTTATTAATAACCTTAAGTCAAGTTTTACCTTAAAAGAAAGCAAAACCCTAAATCTCCATAATTAATATAAAATTAAGGAGCTTTGGTAGCATAGTGCCTAAGGCACTTGACTGCTAATCAGAAGGCTGGCGGTTCAAACCCACCAGCCACTCCTTGGAAGGAAGATGAGGCAATCTACTTCCATAGTGATACTGACTCGGAAACCCAAGGAGGGGTCGCTATGAGTCGGGTCCGACTTGACGGCACATAACAACAACAACAATATAAAATTAAATAATTCTAATTTGTAGCAGAATATGTTATATGTATGACTGTAATTGTAATTTGTCAAGGAAATTAACTCTAAAACATAAATTACTGTAATTATAAAACTTCTACAATAAATAGGGTTGCTACAAGTCAGAACTGTCTTGATGGCAGTGGATTAATACTATAGATTAATAAACTGTGAGCTACTAATCCCCCAAATGTTTCTTCTCAATTACACAGTCCATAGAAGATACTTAATGTCTGTTGTGTGAACAAATGAATATCATCTTAATCACTGCAAAATAAGTTCCTTCACATTAATAACCTCTCAACCCAAACATATTCTTTTAAAATCATTGAAACACAATGAAATAGAGAAAGATGGTGGGCAGTTATTTGATAGAAATAACCAATTTGTCAATCTATCTTATAAATATCAAAATCAAACAAATAAGCAATGTAAAATTAATACGATAGTAAGTGCCCACAATGAATTTTGTGTGAAATATTTCATATGAACTTAATCAAATCCATTTTACTTTAGGTTAACTAAATGATATGAAAAGGTTTTATTATCCTGAAGAAATTCTATATAAAAGCATGTAATACAATTTGAATACAAGCCCTGAAAATAGTTATTTTTGGTTATTAAAATGCTAAAAGTAGACTTTCACTTCTCAGTAAGGTGATCATTTCTAATGTCACATACACACAGACATTATTCTATATGTTTTAAAGATTTAGTTTTGAGACTTAGTACTTTTTAAAAATTAAGACTAGTTTAGCTGGTCAAGTTAAAGATGCCTCAGAACTTTGGTAATTTGTTCATGTGTTTTCTTTTCTTTAAAACAATTAACTTTTAAAAGTATGATGCTCTCTTTTGCTGACTCATTCACTTATGAAAAATGGGGGGACATTCATCCTAAAAATCAATTAGAATCAGGATTTGTAGGATTTTAAATTTGGTGAAGATATGTCCAAATATAATCACAGAAGCTATTCAAAG